ATGCATTACTGAAAAGACAGTCACTAGCAGATTATCTGCTTACAAAACACCAAAACAGGGCTATTACTTCCATAATGGAATTAAAAAAAAAAAATCTCACCTACCCAGTTGAATTCTAGAAGAAAAAGTATTTAAAGAGACATAGCTAAAATTGACAGCTCCAAAATTGCATGTAGTTTCAAGGAAAAGTTATTAATTTTCTTATTGTTCTACTGAATTCCACCTGTGTTTCCCCTCATAGCAAGAATGCCACAGAACAGTTTAAATTAAAAATGCCATTCCTAAGATATACTATAAACAGGAATGGCTAGTTTCTCCATATTGTTATAAAAATGCATGTAAAAATGTTCCTACAATAATATCATCTGGTGCTCTGCTTAATATTTGTGAGGGGCTTCCGGACAAAAACCAAACTCTCTTGCCTCCTGAAACATTTACTAAATATCTGTATTTTATCAGTCACTGTTTTTGGCTTAGTGTCAAAAAAAATCAGAAAAATCTAGTCTCTGTCCTCACTGGGCTCGCAGTCGTCTCTGCTGCTTTAGTTGCCCAGTTGAACTGAAGGGATATTCTAGAGGTTTGAGAAAGGACTCAAAAGAAACATTACTTGAAATATTGCAAGGGGATTCTTACTCTCAACTTATTTGCTCTTTGTATTTGGTGTGGAACTAGGTATGTAGAAAGCAACTAGTCATAAATGCCTTTTGTGGAAACAGTAGTATTTTATACTGCTTGCTGACAAAGACAAAATTTTACACTGATGTGAATTTAAACGAACAGAGGCTGTCAGTAGAGGATGCAATTTCCCAAGTGCTTAGAGATACCTTTACCAGAGAACCAAGACCTCTCACAGGTCAGCAAAGCCTCTAGCTCCACTAAATTAGCATTGTGACTATTTAGATAAAGTCTCAGCTGAAGTTGAAGTTTGCATTATGTCTTACTGCATCTTAAAAATACCCCAGAAATGTCAGCATTTTTGAGTCCACATCTGGAATGAGTATAAAGTCTGAGGTCTGACCTGTGTCTTGACTCTTAGTTAAGGAAATATGACGATCTTATAGGCTTATGTGAAGTGATATATTCAGGTCATTTGTTTTGATATGGTGTATCAGTGCATCTTAAAGTGACTTAAACTACCTTTACTTACAAATACTGTACATTCACTTATAAATACCATACAGACTTTTGGAAAAGTGAGTAAGAACTGTTCACTTTTTTGTTGTGTACTTACTTCTAAGTAGTTAAAAAAATGTATATACTATATGGAGAAGATTTTAACGTGTAATTTTAAATGTATCAAATAATTCATATTTTCAAGTTACCACTGTTCAAAAGGCAGGCTTCATTTCAATGCAAAAGTGAGTACTCTTAAGGTTTTTAGGATATCTTATCTCCTACAGCCACATAATTAAAAGTGTAGAGTTTTGCCTTTGATAAACAGAAACACAATTGGTCATGTGATTTTTTTTTTTTTTTAAGATTTATTCATGCATCCAGAAATGGGGTACAGGTCAGAGGCTGAGGGGCGGTGAGAGGCTTCACTGGAGACAGAGTGGGGAACGGAACAGGCAGTTCGATGCTGTTCTTTTCTGAGGGGAGCAGCGGGTGGGTCAGGAGAGGTCTGCCACGCCATGTGGTCACCTCCAGGGCAGGCTGGAATCTAACTCATGCTGAAGCGGCTTTAGATTCTCAGTGCTGTGCTTTAACCCACTGCGCCACCAGGGCCCGGTCATGTGATTTTTAAAGGAACCACATACACTATGTACTAGTTTTATGCAGAGAACCATGGAGACTTCAGTTCTATAGACAACAGGTTCAGCTAGAAAGTATATTTGGAATTGTTCTGTTGATGAAAATCTATTTCCTTAATACAGTAACATTTCACTTATTGAGTGTTGTTGGACAGGAGCTTTTTATTAAAAACAAATATTACAAATGAATCAAGTACTAATACATTTTGAAGGCTTTTTGAAATACAGCATTATTAATGTTCTGCCTTTTTAACCAAACTGTACACAATATAAGGTAGCTTTATTGATCAAAGGTCATTTGTGAAATCGTATTAATTACTATGGAGTTAGTCCTCAGAGTCTGTTTGCTTTTCCTCTGAGTATTATCAGATTCTAACTTTACAATTTTCTTTCACTGCTATGAGATTTTTTATTATTTTTATAAACAATCTTGCTCTTTGCCATTTTTCTTCTTCCCTCTTATGTTTTTAATCTACTGGTGAACATTTATTAGATTTCTATTCAAAATAAGCCAATCTCTTTATAAAGATTTGAATAACACTCATGAGGAGATGTTACATGGAACCTATGAAAATCTTTTTCCTAACACATTGTTTGCTTCCATGTTCCTGACCATTCTGGAGAGTGACAGTTAATATACTGCAGAAACAATCATGGCTAGTAAGAATTTGATTATTTGCTTGACCATTTCACTACATTTTCTTGTTTTACTCATAACACTTCATAAATTAGCAATAGTGAGCTCTTGAAAACTTAGATTTTCTCCCTTTTACTTAAGATATTTTAAATCTCAACTCTTTTATTTTTTAAGAAAGATTTATTTATGCATACAAGCTGGGGTGTAGGCCAGAGGTGTGTGTGTCAGAGTAGGAGATGGGGGAGGATTCACCAGAGTCAGAGTAGGGAATAGAACAGTAGAATCACTGAAATACACTGCTGAGGGGAGCAGCAGGCAATACAGGAGAGGTCTGCTGTGCTGTGTGGGTCACCTCCCTGTCTGGGGAATGAACTCCTGTTGCAGTAGCTACAGATAGCTTCAATACTGAGACTTAACCCGTTGCACCACCAGGGAGGCTTAAATTTCAACTCTATAGATCATCCTGATATTTAATTTAAAATGCTGTCACTCCCCTTTTCTATACAGTGTTTTGCTTTTTTTTCAGATTACTTTTAACATGTGAGATGATCCTACACATTTATTATCTACCATCTGTCTGCAACAATAAACTCTCTGAGAGTAGGGATTTTGTTTTATTCATGAACACATCTCTGAGTATAGTAGATACCTATAGGGACTCAATAAGCAATTTCTGAAGGATGATTTAGTTAATTCCATTAAAGTCCTAGTAGGTAGATACTACTGAATGTCCGTTTCATAGTTTAGTCAAGTTGAATCTTAGAGAAGTTAAATAAACTTCTCAAACCCACAGTCACTAAGTACTGAAGGCAGGGGAAGGGGAGTTGGAAGCAAGAGATCAGGGCATTTGTTAATTTGATTAATGTTAGTATTTTACATGTGATCACTGAAGTCACATGGATATACTAAATACATATGCAACAAATTTGACTTGAGAACAAGCCGTCATGGGAGAGAGAAGAAAAATCTTACTATACAAGTGATTTTCCCAAAGTGACATATTCACAGCTGATAGCTGTGTTCTTTAGGCTAAAATGGAAGTGTATCTTGAAACTGAACATGCCCAGTTATCCTGAACCTTAGACGGCTGAAGAGTGGGAACATCAATACCAGTGTTAAAGCAAATCTCTTGAGAGTTGCAGGGAAGCAGGGACTGAACGAAGTCTTGACATCAGGATAGCAAGTCCCTGTGAGGAAGGCAGAATAACTCTCTGCGGGGCGGCAGAGCTCCTGAGTGTACAAGTCAGTCACAGACCAGATTTTAAACTGAACACTACCTGCCACTATCTGAGTTGTTTACCAAGAATGTTTACAGGCAAGCAAAACAAAGAAGACAGTGTAGATGTGACACCCTGATAGTCACATAGCTCTTCCTTCAAGAAGCAATGCAGTGCTCAGCTATTTGGAATGGGGTCAGCAGACTGCCCCCAGTGGTCAGCATCCCGAGGCTGGCCTCTCCTCAGAGTGCTATCACTCTCAAGGTCACGGCCTTATCAAAGCAGGCCACTTGCAGTGACAGTGTAGGCAAAAAGGCTATTTAGGCCCAGTCTAGGACATTCTATCAGACAATATTAGTTTCTTTCCAGATTGGCAGAGGCTGTCAGGTCCCTTACAGTTCTACTCCTTTGCCTGAACCTTTTAAAAAAATTTTTTGTCAATTCCTTTTTTTGGGTGTGGATAGGTATCATACACTGCAAACTCTACTTCTGGAAAACCCAATCTGTGAAAGAGGTCTAGTTAATCAGCTAGCAAAATGTTTCCATTGGTATACCGGGAAAATAAGGTAAGCTCTAGATATCCAGTGATGAGCAAGAGTCATAGACCCTGACTGTGGATAGCAACTGGGGGGGGTGGGGGGGGGACGTGGGTGAAAAATATCAAAGTAAAAATATTCAGAAAATATATATTATGCTAAGTGCCATTTTAAAGATCTGTGAGGAAAAAGGTACACTGATCACTATTAGCATATATACTGTGTCTTCACATTAAATTATAATAATATTTGCACTTAGTTTGATATAACTAATTTGCACTTAGTTTGATATAAATATAACAAAATTGTTGGCAGAACAATTCTTACTTGATCTTAAGTCTGTAGTCTAAGACAACCAGTTACTTAAGTTCTTATCAAAATAGATTATTGGCAGAATTAAAGATGGCTTGTGAGCTTTTAGTGTAAAAAAAGGCAACTGCAGACTCTTAGTAAGGATCTGTAGCCCTTACCTCCCCAGAATCTACCATTCTTACAACAGCATCTGAGTTTCTTGTGGAGAAGAGCCTCCTTCCTGCTTTAGGTTCCTGAGGAATCTGTGCCTCCTGCTCAGGAATGTGTATGTAAACCCGGGCAGACCACTGACGGTGAGCTACTGGATTCTGCTGGAAATACTGGGCAAGATCTACTGATGGGACCAGAAAGCTAGCACTACGTAAGTCTTGAATGTCTGGTGCCCATCATTCTGCCTGAGATTAAGTTAATCGAACCCCTGAAAGCTGGCTACAGAGATAGGTTTAAGATTACAACTTGGTAACAGATCTTAAGGTTTAAAACATCTTATCAATGCCAGATTATGATGGTTTAAACCACCTCTGAAAATAAATGCACACTCATCCCAGAATCTCCCAAATCTTTTATTTTTTGCAGTTGAACCTCCTTCTAGGCAGCAGCAAAATGAAGAAGCATTCTTAGTAGTTACCTGACAAAAGCTGCCTATTATTCTTGACATCAAAATCTGGGTGCAGTGATTTAAAAAAATTTACTGTTTTCATAATACAGTTAGTCATGTGGTTTCCAGGGAAGAGAATTTAGTCATGCTTAGAAAGGACAGAAGACAGTGGCTGAGAACCCAACATTTTTGTACTAAATGATATCCTTGAGATGACTAATATTAAGGATCTAAACATAATATAGTTCTCTGTAGAGGAAATAATTTTAGTGTCTAAAGGGCATTCACTTCTGACATCTCAATTCCTGATTTCAGTGGCTGCACACTATGCACTTCTGTGCCACACTTGGGACAGGTAAAGTACAGGTCAAATAAAAAGCTACTCTTAACACAATAATAACAGAAAATGTGATCGCATCCTATAGTGTGAGGCATGGTGGGCCATTCTCCGCACAGAGAACATTCTTTGCCACTGATGGCCAATGTGTTGTCACTATTAGGAACACCAGTAATAGGGATACACCATGAAGATAACTTGGCTTTCAACTTCTGGATGTTGATAAGTGGTAAGAGAAAGATCAGGAACTCAGCAAAACCATGCCAGAGAAGTTCCCTGTTCATATACTCAAAGCCAACTTCACGTATGCCTTGGGGCTTGCAAAATACTGAATGAATGCCTAAGAGACGTTCTGTCAAAGTTGCAAACTTGCCCCTTTGAAGGAAAATCAGGAAGTTAATCAATTCACCTAATTTCAAAAGTCCAATCACAAAATTCACACACTGCTTGACTTTCCCAAAAGATGCTAAATGTTGGTTTCGAAATAAATCATAACATCGTTCTTCCAACCACTTCCCACCAATTGTGCACACAGCATAACCAAGCTTTTGGTTTTTACTAGGTGGCTGATATCTCAGGTTTGGAGAAAAATCACTTTTGTACCGAATATTCAAAACTGACTGTCCCACCGTGGCATTTTTAGAGTAGATAGTGAATCTCCACAAGAAAAGCCACAAGAAAGCTTTCACCTCTGGTTCAAAGTGGGCCAACAGCCCAGGCTTAAAGCCATGAAAGCACTGAGTGAACTGGGACCAGACGAGCTGCTCCAGAGCCTTGTTTAGTTCAAGTGCATCCAGCTGACTTATTCGTAGCACTCTGTCTGTCTTCACATTCTCCTCTCTGGAAGTCATGCCTTCTTTGGAGGTCTCTAGGGAAAAGTACAGAAAGGTACATCATCAAACAGCTGGGGGGGGGGGGGGGGAGGCAGCACCCTCAACTCAGACACGGAAAGCTGTGCGCCAGCAATTACCCAGGACCCAGAGAAGAGGGGACGTTCACTAGTGTGAAACAGCAGGAAACAATCTCTTTTACTTGGAGCTTCTTTTTCCTCTCTCTTCTCCCAATCTCTCCCCCTAACACCCCCACCCCACTTTTTGGGGTTCTCTTTACCAAAGGAGTCACAGGACTTAGCAGGTTGCATCCTACTTGTACAACTGTACAACGAGCCTTGATCAGATATTTGAGCAGGAGATAGTAAAATCCCGAAGCTAATAGTGATGAGGCTAAATAAATAGTAACATAACTAACTGAGATGGATATGAACTTAATAAATACCATGCACTACATGGAACACTGTGATGGAAAAGTCAAGATCACTTTAATTTCCAGCACTTTCACTGGAAATGAAATGCCTTTAATCTTTCTCAAATATTCTTCATATTTATAAAGTTACAAGAAAAAAATGAATGAACAATAGTTTATTATTCTACTACACTATTGCAGAAAATAAATACTAGCTAAGCAACATGAGCTCAGCAATGTTATTATTAAGGAAATAAAAAAGTATACATCAATTTCCTAAGAAAACAATGATATAAAATATATACTAAAATAATTTCATAAATACACTAAAGAAACAGGCACTAAAGGAAACAAAAATGTTTTAAAATGAAGTATAAAAGCTGATTTATGGTTAGCTAGAAAGCCTAGCTCAAACTACATTTATTAAATGCCTGTTATGTGAAGCAAAGTGAATAAAAGATTCAGTGGTTGCTGTTACCAAGGAGTGTGCAAACCAGTTCAGATATTTTCTATTTTGTTGATTAACTGGCAAATCCAAACTGTGAAATTTGTTACAATTTAATTTCTACAATGAACCCCCGATACTCACGGGCCTGATCATGATATCTAGGTCCTTGAAGGTTCTGTACTAACAGATAGGAAATGGGTCCCAGAGGGAGGCAGGACTCATGATGAAATTTACTGCCACCCTGGACAAGTCATGTCACCTAATCTCTGCCTTGATTTCTTTACTTACAAAACTAAGGGCTGGAGACAAAATGATTTCTTTCAAATTCTATTATTTTTATGATTTTACTATTAAGATCTTAAATGTAATTGGTTAGAGGCTAAAAGGGTTGGTTGGGAAGCTGACCCTTAAATAAAGCTGTACTTCTTGAAATTGGAATATCTCTGACAGAGGTTTTCAAGAGGGAATTTTTTAATTATCCACAAAACCTAGAGGACTTAGTGGCAGAGAAGGACTAGTGGCTCAACAACCTGAAGTATAGGAAACAAAAATGACAATTGAATAATAGGTTTTTAGTATTATTAAATGAGATACATGCCAGGAACGTATCTCACCCATGATGCCTTCTCAAGTGACTCTCCTCTTTCTCCTTCCTGCAGCTCTCTCAAGACTTCAGCTTACAGGTATAGTGAAAAAATTTTTGCTGTAAGTTGTCCTGTGAAGTTCTTGCCTCATACTAGCCAGGATCTAAAGGAAAGAAAGAAGGGAGTTAAAAGACAGCTTACCTTTCCTTTTTCAACAAATCTAATTTCCAAATTTCTTCGTCCAAAATATTTTTCTCATCTATTTATTACTCTTTCCCCCCACGCGCCTTTTCCTAAATTCTGGTGGTGCTCACCTTCTCTTTGGATTACACTGAATTGATCTATATTACCTTTCACTTCCTTCAGTGTTCGCTCCATACTGCAATGGTTTTAAAACACAGTCTCCCCAAATCTATCTCCAACTTGCTTTCCTTCCTAATGCTTCGACCTCTAGTCAGAAAGTGCCTCCTTCTCTTGCTCAGGACAGAACATTTGCTATCTGTTCTCTCTGCCTGGACAATCTGTTCCCATTTATTAACTGAAAAGCTCATTTAAGTGCTGGCTCAGACATCACTTCCTCCTGACTCTCCAAATTATGTTAGCTGCCTCTTCTAGTGTTCTTATAGCATTTCTGTTCCTTCTTTTTTTTGGCCTTTATTGTACATAAACCATTTACTGTTTTATGTTGTGTCACAACATAAAATTTTTAATTATCTATTTCCTCCACTAGACTACAAAAAAAACCTGTTGCGAAGATTATTTGAATCTTGTTACAGTTGATTTTACCAACTTGCACAACATCTGGTACCTAGCTTGTATTCTAAAATACTAGATGAAAGGATACTAGAACAGGGCCAAATAAACAGGTGAGTGAAGGGTAGAAAATCTCAAGTCCTATCCATGAACCTTTAAAACTATTTCAAATAATGATATTATTACTTATTTCAATATACTGGAAAATAAATGCTATTTAACAGTTTCATTTCAGAGCTAGCGATAAATGGTAGGACACACTTTCAACCCATGTGAAGACTATAATCTAGTGGTGGGAAGACTATAATCTAGAGGAAGAGGGAGGTGAGGGTGTGGCATACAAAACAGTAAGGTGTGATGAGTGATATGCACAGGGACATTCTGGTCTTTGTGCTTACTAGACCTCAGTAAACCAAGGAGGCTTCATGAAAGATGCAAACTTTAGGCAGCCACGTGAAGGACTACTGGTGTCAGAAGGTAAGGATACCATTCCAAGCAGAGAGAATAGTCAAAGACTGGGGTGCAAGGACAAACGGCTGCAAAGAAAAGCAAGAGAATGATCCTAAAGGTGCTAACAGCAAAACTGGGGAGACTGAATTTTATAAAGGTAACAGGGAGCCACTGAGGAACTGTAAGCAAAGAGCTAATCAAAACTGCATTTTACAGTTTGTTCTGGCCGCAGTGAGAATAGTTTATAAACTGAAAGACTGGAGGAATTAAGATGATAGTAAAATGATTATTAAAATGATCTAGTGTGAAACCAATGATGGTTTCAATTATAAATTAGAAACAAAATGAAAATCTATGAGGTGGCAGAATTGACAAAATTTAGTGAGAAATAAGCCAAGAATAACTGACTTGAATAATTGAGTGGTTGGTAGTCCAGTTCTCTGAAATAGAAAACACATGCAGAGACACAGATTTGAAAGGAAAGGTAATAAATACATGCAGTTTTAGAGATCTGAGGCTCCTACGAGACATCTAAGTGGAAAAGTTCAGTAGGCAGTGACGTGGATATGGAAGAGAAAAATCTGGGTGGAGATTTTGAGTATGAGGTCCTTTTCTCAGGGTTAATTTAACATCTACTGGAGCTACTTAAATACCAAGGCAGAGAGGCAGTGACCTTGTGAGATCCTGGCCTTACTACTGCCTCTGGAAAAAAAAAAAAAAAAACAATCTTACTGTCATATTTTCCTATTCCAGCTACTATACCATTTCAATGGTTAAGCTCACTGATGTTTATTTAGGTTTTCAATTTTTCTATACTGGAGTCTTCAATGTCACAGTCCTGCTTTCTCTAGTCTACAGGTTCTCAAACTTGACCATGCTTCAGGATCCCATGGAGGACTTGCTAGTTTGCAGGGCCTTAGCCCCCGAGTTAGATACATTAGGTCTGGAAATGGTGCCATGAATTTGCATTTCTAACATGATCCCTAGTGATGTTAAGAATTACTGGGCTAGTCCATTTCAAAGCAAAATTCTTAGGTTTTTTTTTTTTTGGTCTATCTATCATTCACAAAGTTCAATGCTGCATGCCAGTACTCCCACTCATTTCTCATCCTGTATCTACAGAGGCTGTTACAAATGTAGCACTTACTCAGCCTTTCTCTTTCTTCTACTAAGTAGTCTTTGTGAGATTAGAAACCATACTTGAATTCCACAAGCTCCATTAGCATCAATACATCTTAGTCCTGCTAGATGCTTGAGAAGCAAAGATAAATATACACCCCTGCTCTTGCTTGAGACCCTTGATCAAGGTCTCAAGGGAAACAGGCAAAGAAATGAACAACTAGGGCAATAAAAGAGGTATATAGACCACATGTTCTCAGAGGCAACACATAAAATTTCAAACTAGCTCTATAGAAAAATACTTCCAAAATTCACACAGAAATTGCCAATGAAGAATTACTCATCACTTTCTCTTTGCAGCTTACACATTTTCTCTAACTTATGTAATTAAGAAAAATAAATCTAACAAATGCACTAAATCTACAAAGCTATTTGCTCACACTCATCAAGCCACCTTTTCCTTTCCTCACTATTACCTTTGTGATAAAGTCCCCCTGCCTGCTCTTCTCTCCATGTCTGTAACATACTATTTCCCACATGAATCCTTTAATTCCAGACAATCCTTCAGTCCTGTACTGTGCCTTCTCACCAACTACTGCCACTGGTTCTCAACTATCTGCCCTTCATGTTTCAAATCTGTTTCAATATCTTCTATAAAACCATTATAAATATCTCCAGCTCTCATCACCATTTTGAATCTTGACAGCAACTAACTGTGCTACACTCTTGAATACTGAACCCTTAACATTTGTATTGTGATTTCAGTTATATGAATACACACATTATCAACATCTTTTAAACTTGTCTGTAGTAATAGTTAAGGGAAAATGCCTTATTTAAACTTGTATCTCAAAGCACTTGCCATCTACAAAGTGACTGTGATATCTAGCTGAGTGTTCTTTATATAAAATTCTCCAATAAGTCATGACATAGGATTATTGTATATGGAATTATAACAGTGTCTACAATTATATACAATATCACACTATTTCCCATATGAATCCTTTAATTTTATTAAATCCTTCAGTCCTGTACTCTGTGCCTTCTCACCAACTATGCAATGAGGATTTCCCCAATTTTCAAAAGTTATTGTCAGCAAGATAAGAGAAATTCTCTTTTTGTCAAAGTATACTTGAAAAGGTCTGATGATACTGGACACCATCATTAAGTCCATAGTTCCCTTCCCTAATCATCACCTCCCCATCCCATCCCTGGAGTTAGATTTTTTTTTTCCAGTTAAATGTCAGATGAAATATATATGGCTTATGTTAGAGGTCAGTTGTGTCAATTTATGTATCTTGAAATTCTAGTATTGCAACTGTTCTAGACTGCAGTTGATGAAGCCTTATTAATCTTACAGATTTACCATAAATGAAATGACTACTCTGGTGGGTAAACAGTGTATTAACCAATTTTGTGAGAGCACCTTAGAAAAAATGGTGAGAGAAGACACCTTTTTCTCAGATTCCTTAAAGTACTTATTTAGTGAGAAAATAGTCAAGAGTGATTTCTCAATGGAATTATCTATTTCAGATTCTTTGTTTCTGGAGGAATCGTACTTAAGAACATTTAACAAAGATTTAGGAATTTTTTGCCAGAATGGAGACTAACACATACTCTAACCAATCCAATATTTAACAATCCTTATTATCAAAAAATTCTTTCTTATCCCTTCTGTTATAGTTTAACATTTTTTTCTTTCCTCTTTTTCTCCCCAGGCATGGCCTCAGTGTAGATTAAGAACAGCTGGGTTCAATCTTCTCCCCTACATATGACTCTTTAATAGACCAAAAGACTATTATTAAACTGCACTTTAACCTTTGCTCCTCCAGATGAATAATTTGTTTCTCTCTTTTTTTTTTGTTTTAGGCTTTATTTTTCAACATTTTAGATATGTTTGTGAATTCAGCTGTAAATAGTGCAGTCCACTACACAGCAGAGTCTACTAGAGTGGTATTCCTCGCTCATACTCAACATTCCTATTTCAGCAATAGTGATAGTGTTGAAAAAGCAGTTATAAAATCAGGCAGACTTGGGCTCAAGTTACAGCTCTGTCACTTATTTGCCATGTGATATTAAAAAAACTAAAAGAAATTTCAGATTCTTTTACAAGGTGGAAATAATAGCTATCTCACAAAATTGTTAAGACTAAACCAGATATTTTATTTGGAATTATTACATTTTCGTTGCTTTGACTGGAGATGAACATAAGAAAAAGACTGGCAAATTTCATCTCAAAAGACTGAAATCTCTATTACTATACATACAAATGCCTCAACTTGTAATAAAAGATCCTCCCTTCACCCCAACAAACACTGACTACAGCATTAAAATAGAACAAAAATATAACTGTGGCACTTAAAGTAAACATGATGTCAGTGTGATGTGTGTGTTGGGGGGGGTCTAATGAAAAGGGACAGAGACATGGTTCAGTGGAACTCTTAACTGGCATCTTATCTGATAGGAGATGAAGGGATGGGATTCTGAGAGAATGGGGATGGGTCCCAAGATGACCCGCCCCTTGATTATTAATTCCCCATGACATGGTTGTGCCTGTAATCTGGAAGCAAAGAAACCTCAGGAATGCACACCAACAGAATTTGACTCTAGGATGCTTCACTGAACAGAACATGGTACAGAGAGTCCAAGGCAAGTGTTCACCCTTGGTTCACCAGTAACATGTTAACACTTGAGCTCCTCTGCCTTTCTCATTGGACAGTTATTCTAGAGTACCATCTTTAGAGAAGGGCAGTGCCCAGGGGTAGAAGAAACTAACAAAATAGTGACAAGCAAAAGTTCAATTATCCTGATTATGAAATCCTCTCCACTGCTGTACAGTAA